AGAAAATGAGATTTTTGACCATTTTAGCATACAAAACAAATGAGATTCATATACTACATACAATACTCCATAAACACATAATTAAAAAAGAAAAGAATAAAAAGACTCAAATGGGGAAGTAAAAAGTCCTAAAATGTTATAAAATTAGTACAAATATGATTAATAAATTAACACTTATCAATCACCTTCTTCGTCTTCTTTGTTTGTTCTTTCTCTAATAAAAACCCTAGTTAGTTTTGAGACGGGATTATGATTATTAATATGGGGATTTTGAAACCCAAAAAGTGTAGACAATGCAAATGATGATGATTTTGGGAGAAAAGGGGAGAGATTTGCCGATTGGAATTGAGAGGATTGGTATGTGGTTTTTAATTGGAGAGAATTGAGGAGGGTGAGATGGGTCGCAGATAATTGGGAAGCGAATTTTGGATAGGTGCTTTGCACAATATTTTATACCTCTTAACTTTCAAGAAGTAACTACTACTTGTGCTTTTATCTATACTAGAAGGTATTCGTACAATACAGCGAGATAAATCTTCATTTTAATGTTTAGTTTTTTATTATGTTTCTATTGATATCGATTTTATGTAGTTTTGAGAAAGTGATAATGTTTTTATTTTTAAATGAAATATAAATTTGAAGATATCATAAAATTTTGAAAAATAAATAAATCGATAGTAGTATCAAATTAACTATTAAATAGTTCTCGTTTTTTTTGTGTAACTTCTTTAATTCAATTTTTTATTATAATTTAATTTAGATTTATATGGGTGTTCAAAAAAACCATTGGACCGTTCAAACCGGCTGAACCAAGTCAAACCGGACCGTTTTTGACGATTTGGTCTAGTTTGAAAAATAGCAAAATCGGCGTTCTTGTCCGGTCTGCGGTCTGGAACCTTTTTTGGGTGGTTTGGATCAAACCGACCGCCAAATACATACATACATATATATATATATATATATATATACATACATACATACATACATACATACATACATACATACATATATACATATACATACATACATATACATACATATATATATATACATACATATATAT